AGCTACAAGCAAAGGATTTATGAAAGGAACGGTCTACGTTAGAAAAGAACCTGGGCAGAAGCAGGATAGAGGGCAGCCCCAAACCCGAAGACACCCAGTGTCCCTCCTGCCCTCACCACTAGACGCAACTAGGTCCTACAACTAGACACAGACTTCCTGAGCCCCCAGCCAGACACTCTGCTCCTTCGCTTTCCTGCTTTGTGCCCTCAGAAGGCCCTCCTTAACTCCCCCAAGTCCGCCCCTCCTTCAAGGCAGGGCCCAGTCCTAGTCCTCCAGGGAGCCCCAGGCCATCTCACCCACCCAGTGCCTGTGGACCACCCGCAACCCCTGCCAGGGCAACGGCCCCACTGGGCACTGAGGCAGCTCGTCTACTCGTCCTCAAATGTTCTCAGAGGCGCTGATCTTGTTCACATTTCCAGGAAGGGTGCTGATATCTTCCTAATTCAGTGAAAGCTCCTCAAAGGCAGGGTCCAAAACTGAAGTGCACTGTGCTCCCTACACACTGAGCGGCAGGTTAACCCTCACCGGAGGACATCTTTTCATCGATTTTTAAGAAGAGTGGAAAGGAGGGGGAAGAGACACAGAGAGAGACCGGGGCCGGGGATGGAGCCTGCAGCCGAGGTATGTGCCCTTGATGGGAATCGAACCCGGGACCCTTCGGTCCGCACCCGATGCTCTACCCACCCACCAAGCCAAACCAGGTAGGGGTGAGAGGCTGCTTTCTGCACAGCCATCCACCCATCCTTGATGACACATGTTGGGGGCGAGGGTGGGGCCCCCCAGGGAAGAGCTGGGGCCAGGGTGGGTCCAAGCAGGAGCAGATCAGCCCTGGACACCCCCAGGACTGCGGCTTAGGGAAGGGAAGCCGGCAAACCAGGCACTCCGTGGGAGCCTGCAATCCCACCCTCTCATGGCAAAGAGGGCAAAAGGGCAAAGAAGGGAGTGGAAGTCTTTCTGGCTGCAGCTGGGGTCAAAGGTAAGATTCCAGGGACGGAGCCAGGGCTGCTCAGTGAAGACGGAAGCCGGCAAGTGGACAAGGCCCCGCACTTATGCCTTGTTAATAAAAACCACCTGCGTGCTCCGCTCTCTACTCAGAAGGGAGCCATTTCACTGTCATTTTGAAGCATTTCTTCTGAAAACATGGGTTTTGTATTACTGTGTCTGTGTACTGACCCTGGCAGCACAGCTCAGAGCAGGGAGTGGGGGGACAGGGTAGGTCCTACACTGGAAATAGGAACGCCAGCCTCCTCAGCTCCAAGCCAGGGCCGGGGAGACCCCTGGGGCACAGCCATCCCATCCTCCCCTGAGATCAGCGAACTCCAGTTTCTCCCAAGGAATCCCACTTCGTATCCTGTGGCATTTTGGTAAATCAGCTATGGGTCTACCTCTCCCATCATATCGAGAGCTCTCAAGGAGGGTGACACCCCATTTGCCCGTCCTTCCCCAGAACATACCACGCATCAGAAATGCAGCCCACATTGTAGCAGCTGTGCCCAGCACTGCCTCCCACCCCGTCCCAGAGACCATGTGGCCTGCCTCCCCCAGCGGAGTGGACAGGGCGGACACCCGCACCCAGGCCAGACCAATCGGTTTCTCTGGCACCCCAAGACCAAGGGCAGTGCTCAGTCACACCAACAACCTGGAGAGAGCGAGCCTGCAGGGAGAGAAGGGACAGAGGCACCAGGAGAGGTGGGGAAAATGAAACCACAGCCCAGAGAGGAAAGCCGGAGGAGGGGTTGCTTGCCAGCTTCCCGAGTCCTGGGGGAGCCAGGCTGCCTGCACTTGTTTGCTATACAAGTTCCCTTTCCCTCCTCACTCTCCTTTCACTTAACCTAATTGGAGGTTTCTGACAAAATGATCCCAGAAACACGGTCAGAGCCTGCTCCCCTTCCCGATCAGGGCAGGCCCATCATCAAGCCATGCTCGCTACTCAGTTTACAAGGAGAGGCAGGTTTGGGTAGGGCCAGCACCAAAGAGCATGCTGGGAAGGCAAGGCACCGCCAGCCGGGGCCCTGAGAGTCAGAGAGCATTTGGACTTTGTACTTCAGCAAATGAGGTGGAGGTGTCTGAAGACAGCATGGCCAAAAGTGTGCTTTAGGGTCAAATGGCAAAGGGGCATGTCTTCTAGGTACACAGTAGGTGCCTAACAAATGCATGGAGGGCAAACAGGATTTCCTCATCTTTAAAATATAGGGAATGTGATGAAGATTTCCAAAAACTAACACACATTTAAAAAGCTCAAAAAAGGGCCCAGCGTACACTCAATATGTATTTTGTTTTATTTTAGACCTACACACAGACTGCTGTTCTCCCCTCAAGAACTGGCCAGATGCTATGTTCGGACTGTTTGTGTCTCCCCAAATTCATATATTGAAGCCTAATGCCGAATGTGATAGTGTTAGGAGGTGGGGCCTTTGGGAGGTGATTAGGTCATGAGGATGGAGCCCTGATGAAGGGGATTAGTGCCCTTATAAAAGAGACCCCCACAAAGCTCCCTTGCCCCTTCCACCATAGGATACAAGGAAATGGCTGCAACCTGGAAGAGGGCCTTCACCCGACCACACTGGCAGCCTGACCTCAGACTTCCAGCCTTCAGAACTGGGAGAAATAAGTTTCTGTTGTGTATAAGTCTGAAGTATTTTGTTAAAACAAAGGGGCTAAGATGACGGGGAACCAGGAGGGTCAAGAATGCAGCTCCCCCCACTTTGGGCATAGAAGCAGAGGTAGAGTAGATGGCATCAAAACGGCAAGGTCAATCTTTAGGGTGGCAGGGCCAGGGATGGAAGGCCAAAAGGGAACGGTCCCCTACAGTGGATCAGAGTGGAGGGAACACGGATGGCTAGAGCTGTGGGGATGGTGGCCTTCCCATTGCCAAGGGAGGTGTACCAGAGTGGGGGGAGGGGGAGGAGGGGAGGAGGCTGCAGTGAGGCAGAGAACAGGGCCTGGGCAGGGCTAACAGGCAGGACTGCCTGACAGTGGACAGATGGAGAGGGAATAAGCGTGTGCGTATGCGTGTGTGCGTATGTGTGTGTGGAATGTAGGGCCACCAGGCACAGCCACAATAACAACACTGGGCATGTCTCCATCAAGTGAACATACTTCACACACACATTGATTCAATTCTCTCAATAACCCTCACAGGTAGATACCATAAGTAGCCTCATTTTTATAGATGGGAAAATTGAGGCAGAGAGAGGTATAGTGATTTGTCACTAGTAGGTGGCAAAGCTGGGATTTGAACGCAGGCTGTCAGGGCCCAGTATCTGAACTCTTAACCACTAACGTGGACAGGAGATGCTGGAAAAGAATTGGTGCCCAAGGGTGAATCCCCAACTTGGGATTTTAGGCTCTGGGTGCAAAATTCTAGGCACCACCTTCCCAGCCTGCCGGGTGGCCCTGGGGGCTTACAGATGCACCCTTGTGTGCCTAGGTTCCCCCCAGGTGCCCTCTGCCAGGCTCTTCTGCCTTTGAAACACCTCTGCATCTCTAACCCCCTCTATAGAGATGCACCCCACCATCACTTGTAGGCCAGGCACTGCAGGTAAAACAGCTCATGGAGAAAGACGTCTGAGGGGCCCCACCTGGGAAAGGAGGAAGGACAAGACAATCCCTTCCCTCAACAGAACTCCCCCGCCTTAGACCCCATGCCCCATCACCTAAACCCTTCACTGCTCCTCTAACCCAGCGGCTACCAGGACTCCTGCCCTTCTCTGACTCCAGGCCCTGCCCATGCTATTTCCCTGTCTGAAGCCCATTTGGCATCCTGGCAGCAAACTTCTGCAATGGGCTCCATCAAGCTTCCTCTCCACTCCACCCTCCACGTGTCCCTCCTCTGCTCCCAGCGCCCACACCACTTCACTCAGTGATGGGCGCTGCTCCCTAGTGGCAGCGATGCCCCCAGTCCTGTGTACCTGCCAGCGCCTGGCAGAGCTGGGCCAGGTGACAGCAGCTGGATGAATGAAGGGTTCATTGTTTACATTACAACTGGTGGGGAGTGTGTGGCTCACAGGAGGTGAGGCGGCCCCACGTGGTGCTCCCTGTACCCTGCTCCTCCTCTGCCAGCAGCCCCAGGCCAGCCCCCTAGCCTCCCTGGGCATCTTACAAGGGTGAGGGCAGCCAGCACCCCTCATGTGGACTCCCATTTCTCACCCAGAAGGGAGAGGTAGCATCTCAGAGATTGGGGGATGGGCCGCTGTGTGTGTGACTCCCCACAAGGTGCCCCTCTGCCCATCCTCTCCAGGGAGGGGGTGGGGCTACAGCCAGCGTGGCAGTGCCCAGTGAGCACCCGCCCCACCCAGGCCCCGCCTGAAGGGCCCAAACGGGCGGGTCCTGGAGGCCCAGCGAAGCATCCTAGGCGGCTGCGGCCCCTCCCTATGGGGAGGGCAGAAAATCTGCTGCCTCACCAGCCACCAGCGCCCAGCTTCGGGGGGGTGGGGGGGGACACCCCCTGCGGGGAGCCGCCCTGCCCCAGTCTCCCCCTAACCTCCTCTGCTGTGCACTTCAACCAAGTTTTGCAAAGGGCATCAGCCAGGCGCTTCCAGCCCGCGGGCGAGGGCTCCGTGTCCTCCCAGACCCCGGTCTGCAGAAGGGGGTTGGGGGCCGCGCCCACCAGGAGGCGCCCCTCGGGCCAGGTAGCCCAGAGCCCTCGCCCTGCCCTGGGGAGAGGGGACGGGCGGCCCCGGTAGATGTGCCGAATCCTGGTCTGTAGATGGGGGGACGAGGCGCTGACGATGCCCTCTCCACGGGGACGCGCAGCCCGGCCAGCGCCTCCCCACGCCAGAGCACCCCTCCTCGTTGGCAGGCATAGGGAAGTTGGGGTGCACCCAGGGCCGGCTCCGCTCACGCCCACCCACCAGCCGCGGCCGTGCGGCCTCTCCCCCGCCCGACGCTGTCCCCGGGCCGGCCCGCTCCCGCCGAGGCTGGGGCCGCCGCCGCCTCCCGAGCCCCCGGTCCTTTGTTGCCCGGCAAGCCCCCTCCTCCAGGGCGCCCGCGGCTCCTACCTTCGCCCCTCGGGCAGCAGGATGAGCGGCAGCGGCCGGGCGCCGGCCTCCTCCTCTGCGGGCCGCCGCCGCGGGGGGAGAGGATGCTGCGGCCGCTCCCGGACCCGCCGCCCCGCCCCGCCCCGGCTGAGCCCCGCGGCGCCCGGACACCGCGCCCGCGCTCCGCACCGGGCCTCGCGCCGCGTGTGCGCCGGCTGGCGGCGGGAAAGCAGGAGGAGCGGCCCCGGGCAGCCCCGCCGCCGCCTCCGCGCCCGCGGCCGAGCCCAGCAGCCGAGCGGAGCGGAGCGAGCGGCCCGGCTCCGGGAGGGAACAAAAGGGGCCGGCGCTGGGGAGGGCGCCGGAGGGCGGGGCCGGCGCGGCGGGGGCGGGCCCGCTGCGCGCGGCCTCGCGGTTCTCGGGCCCCGGCGCCGAGCCGTCAGCGCGCGGGCGGGCGGGAAGCGCGGCGCCCCTGCTGGTCTTCGGGCCGCAGGCAATTGGAGGTGTCGGGGTGCGCCGACACCCCCTTCAGCGCTGGCCCCCTGTTGGTCTTCGGTCGCGTTTGGCTTCAGCCTGGCTCTGCTCACGAGGATGGCCCAGACCTTTGGGAAAGAGGGAGGCCTGGGAAGCTGCGGGGAGAACGGGGAATTCCAGGAAGCCTTCGCGGAAGAGGTGACTTGGACTGGACAGGAAGCGATGAGGAGGGGACAGTGTGGCCGAGGCTCGAACTCCGGATCCTCCTGAGATGTCCCGAGGCCAGAGGGGGTGGTGATAAATGACACAGGGTTCTTGGTGATTTGCTGCCAACATGTCTTTGCAGAAATTGGTACCCAAGACAGAGGAAGCCCAAGCCCTTCTCCCCGGGGCAAGGATCTCTCTCTCTCCTGTGATATAAGGGAGCTGCGCGGCCCAGCCCCCCGAGTGGGGGAGCAGAGGCTAAGAGGCAGCCAGAGATGAGAAATAAATGAATCCCAACACCCATAGGAGCCTGGCTGTGGTTGGCCTCTGTGCTTCTGTGCCCCCTTCCCCCTTGATAAACTAACCTCTGAGCCTCTGCCTTGCTGGTTTCTCTACCGGTAACGCTGCCCCCTGGCCCCACTTACACAAATCATCCTTCCCCTTCAAAGCCTGGCTCAAACTCACCTTCCCCCCCCCCCCCCCCCCCCCCCCCCCCCCCCCCCCCAGCCTGGGAACCTGGCTGTACTGGGGGAGGCTGTGATGTCTGCACTGAGACTGGCTCCGGAGGGCGGGCACCAGCACAGTCTTGTTTATGTCCCCGAAGGTGCCCACCACCGTGCCTGGCCAAGGGTGCACATTCAGTGACACTTGTTGAATGAATAAATTTGCTAAGTTGGCACCAACCGTCCTTCCATTGCCCTAGTATCCAGAATCTTTGAGAAACGAATTAACCTCTGGAACTCCGTTTCCCCACCGATAAACTGAGATAGTGTTTCACTTCAGTCTGGCAAATATGTACTGGCATAACGATGGAGGCTGGGCACGGGCCAGTGCTGAGGAGGCCCCCAGCTGGTGAGGGTGCAAGACCTGGAGACCAGCTGGGGAGGAGGGTGCAGAGTGAGCCCACAGGTGAACAGGCTTCCGGAGGAGGTGCCAACCTCATAGGAAAGGAGGGGGTTCGAGGTGGGAAGGGCTGTGCTCAGGCCGAGGGAGGATGGGGCTGGGGTGAGTGGTCCGATAGCTATATATATAAAAGCCTAAGTGACCATTACAACCGAAAGACCAGAGAGACTGGCCAACCAGTAGCTATGACGCACTGACCACCAGGGGGCAGACACTCAACGCAGGAGCTGCCCCCTAGTGGTCAGTGCGCTTCCACAGCCAACCTTCCCCAGTCCCTCCCCCTGGCTGGCAAACCTCCCGCAGTCCCTCCCTCCCATGCCTCCCTCAGTCTGGCAGGCTCCATTCAGCAGCCGGCAGGCCCCAGCAGGCCCCAGCCAGAAAGGCCCTGGCAGGCCCTGGCTGGCAGGTGCCAGCAGGCCCCCAGGTCCCAGCCGGCAACCGGTAGGCCCTAGCTGGCCTGGCCCCAATCGGGACTGGGCGAGACAGCCCCAATAGGCCCTGATCGCCAGCCAGGCCTAGGAACCCCTGCCCCCCACCTGTACGAATTTTGTACGCCAGGCCTCTAATTAAGAGATAAGACCAAGGCATCAGGCAGTGGTGAGAATCCAGCTCCCTCACCTCCAGCTGATGCGCAATACTCTCTGGGCCTCTGTTTCCCCATCTGTAAAATGGAGCTGGTGTTACACTGCCTCCTAGGGTTGTTGTCAAGGCTGAATGCGTTAATCTATGTGAAGGGCTTAGAACAGAGTGTCTAGTGCAAAGTTGACATTCAAAGAGCAAGGTCATAAAAGGACTTTGTACGTTAGGAGGCTGGATCTTCTCCTGTGAGCTGGAGATTTCTAACAGGGACTTCTCTCCCATGCAGAGGAAGAAGCACAGAGAGCGAAGTGCAGGGCTTTTCCAGTTGCTCTCCTCCTAAGATTCTGCCGGCTCCTCCCTCCCTTGGGAATAGTGGTGGGCAGGGAGCCCAGGAAGGCTTAGAAGGCCATGGGGGTCCTGATGATGGAAAGCAAGTGAGGCCCAATCAGAAGCCATTGTGAAGGCTCTCCTGGCAGCTCATGGGGGCAGGCTGAGACCAGAGAGACCAGCTGGAAGGCTGTGGGGGTGCAAGCTAGAGCTGGGGTGCTGGGACACCTTCAGGGTGAGGGAGCAGCAGAGCAAACCAAAGGAGAGGCCACTCCAGGTCAGGTCTTAGGGACACTCCTTTGAGACTGAAATCCATGGGGACTCTCCCCAGAAACATGTGATATGCTTATGCACACATGCTTGTGCAGACACACACACACACACACACACACACACACACACACACAGTGTTTTGCAGACAAGTTCAGACAGTTCACGGACACTCTGAAGTTCTGGGGCAGGAGAGAGTGCGCATAAAAAACAGAGCAGATGGGGTGTAGCTGAGAGTGTGATTTGCCCAAATGAGTGGGTTTCTGACCCAGACCAAATGGTACGTGTGCCCTGGAGGCATTTCTCCCTTCTTTGGCACCTGAGGCTTCTGGAACCAGGAAAGAGGCCAAAGTTCTCAGGACAACAACCCATCAGAGATGGATTAAGAAGGTTCCTCATTAAGAAAGGAAACCATCATTTCATCCTGGCCCCTCCTTGCACAGATGGGGAAATTGAGGCCTCAAAGAGAGGCAGGGATTTCAGATCACACAGATCCTGCTGTGATGCACCTGAGCTCACCTGTGTCCAGCCAGCGCGTCAGCCACCTTCCACCCACCAGCCCCCTCCCTCCCCTCCAGCTCCCAGTTCCTGCACAATACTAAACCAGCGGTGGGCAAACTTTTTGACTCGAGGGCCACAATAGGTTCTTAAACTGGACCGGAGGGCCGGAACAAAAGCATGGATGGAGTGTTTGTGTGAACTAATATAAATTCAAAGTAAACATCATTACATAAAAGGGTACGGTCTTTTTTTTTTTTTAGTTTTATTCATTTCAAACGGGCCCGGATCTGGCCCGAGGGCCGTAGCTTGCCCACGGCTGGTACTAACCTCTCCTTACCTGGACAGGGTGGGCGGAGCTGCAAAGGCACAACTCACCTGAGAGGAGCATTGATTGCCCTTGTGGCAGCTGGGCTTGTTCTAGGTGAGACTACAGGTTTCTATCTTGTTGGGTTTTCTACTACCTGCAGCCAAACAAATGATGTGGACATGGAGGGTGGAGCTGGGCACGATGCCTCAGCATCAGGCCTGTGGATGGTGGGGGTGGGGGGTGGGGGGGCTGGGACTACAGGGAGGGGGACTTTCTCACCCAAGCCTTTTGTCTCCATGGAAAGTGCTGATTTGATCATTTTCTTGCTGACACTGGCCATGACCAGGAGCAAGGTGGGGGAGGCGGCTTATGGGAAGAGCATATCAGGAATAATGGGGGGGAGGGGGCAGGGCAGAGGTCTCAGAGGCCTGCTGTGGGGCAGCCACAGACGAGGCCTGGCTGCCCTACAGGTTACTGCCTCTTTGGTATTGTTTTATTTTAATTTTTAGGACCAATAGGACACCCATATGACGGAATATTTTATATTCTCTGAATCACTATTTATAATGTATTTGTAATAAATGGGGAAACGCTCCTGTATTTATGTCAAATGAAAAACACACATCAAAAACTTGTGTATAAGGTAGAATCTCAACCGTGTAAACCGTAGAGGGGAAAAACTGGTCATTGTGTTGGGCTTTGGGTGGGGGAACCCACCATACACAAGAATAAACTCAAATGGATTAAAGACTTAAATGTAAGACTCAAAACCATAAAAATCATAGAAGAAAACCTAGGCAGTGAAATCTCAGACATTTCTCCTAGCAATATTTTTTTCTGATATATTTCCTTGGGCAAGGGAAACAAAATTAAAAAAATTAACAAATGGGACTACATTAAACTAAAAAGCAAAAGAAACCACAACAAAATGAAAAAAACGACCCACTGGATGGGAGAATATAGTCACCAATGATACATCTGGTAACAGATTAATATTCAAAAATCTATAAAGAACTTATAAAACTCAACATCAAAAAAATCAAATTAAAAAACGGGCAAAGGACCTGAATAAACACTTTTCCAAAGAGGACATGCAGATGGCCAATAGACATCCGACAAGCTGCTCAACATCACTAATTGTCAGAGAGATGCAAATTAATACCACAGTGAGATACCACCTCACACCTGTCAGAATGGCTATCATCAATAAATCAACAAACAACAAGTGTTGGTGAGGATGTGGAGGAAAGGGAACTCTCGTGTACTGTTGGTGGGAATGCAGATTGGTGCGGCCACTGTGGAAAACAGTATGGAATTTCCTCAAAAAAAAAATGAAACTGCCTTATGACGCAGTGAGTCCACTTCGGGGGATATATCTGAAGAAATCCGAAATACTGATTCGAAAGAATACTAGTCTATGCACCCCATGATCATTGCAGTGTTATTTACAATGGCCAAGATTTGGAAGCAGCCCAAGTAAGTGCCCATCAGTAGATGAGTGGATAAAAAAGCTGTAGTACCTTTACACATGGAAGAGTAAGAACTCAGCTGTAAAAGGGAAGGAAATCTTACCTTTGGCGACAGCATGGATGGACCTTGGGCCTGTAGAGTAATATGCTAAGTGAAATAAACCAGTTAGAGAAAGACAAATACCATATGATTTCACTTTCATGTGGAATCTAATGAACAAAACAAGCTAACAAACAGAATAGAAACATACCCACAGATACAGAACAGACTGACAGCTGTTAGAGGGGAGTGGGCTTGAGGGCTGG